AACTTTTATTTCACCTCTTATTTTATTACCCTTCAAAGATCCTTGGAAATACATGAACTTAGAATCATAGAATTGTTAAGGTTGGAAAAGACCAAGATCTTAAGATCATCAAGTCCAACTGTTAACCTAGCACTGCCAAGTCCACCACTAAACCATGACCCTAAGCACCACGTCTACGAGTCTCTTAAATACCTCCAGGGACGAGGACTCACTCACTTCCCTGGGCAGCCTGTTCCAGTGCCTGACTACCCTTTTCGTGAAGGTTTTTCCTAATATCCAACCTAAACTTTCCCTGGCACAGCTTGAGGCCACTTCCTCTTGTCCTATTCCTTGTTACTTGGGAGAAGAGTCTGACCCCTACCTCACTACAACCTCCTTTCACGTAGTTGTGGAAAGCAAGAAGGTCTCCCCTCAGCCTCCTCTTCTCCAGACTAAACAACCCCAGCGCCCTCAGCTGCTTCTCATAAGACTTGTCCTCCAGACCCTTCACCAACTTCGTTGCCCTTCTTTGGACACACTGCAGCACCTCGATGTCCTTCTCGTAGTGAGGGGCCCAAAACTGAACACAGTACTCAAGGTGCGGCCTCACCAGTGCTGAATACGGGGCACTATCACTTCCCTGGTCCTGCTGGCCACACTATTCCTGATACAAGCCAGGATGCCATTGGCCTTCTTGGCCACCTGAACACACTGCTGGCTCACGTTCAGGCGGCTGTAGTGACTGTAAGACTTCTCCCAGCTGCTTATAGAGTATTTTGTCTGTCTCTTCATCCTGGTTGGGTGGTCTATAACAGACTCCCACCACGATATCTGCCTTGTTGGCCCTCCCCCTGATTATTACCCATAAACACTCAACCCTATTGTCACCATCATTAAGCTCCAGGCAATCAAAACCCTCCCTAACATACAGGGCTACCCCACCGCCTCTCGTTCCTTGCCTATCCCTTCTGAAGAGTTTATAGCCATCCATTGCAGCACTCCAGTTGTGTGAGTCATCCCACCATGTTTCTGTGATGGCAACTATATCATAGTTTTCCTGCTGCACAGTGGCTTCCAGCTCCTCCTGTTTGTTGCCCATGCTGTGTGCATTGGTCTAGATGCACTTCAGCTGGGCTATTGATCCCGCCACCTTTTTGGGGGAAGAAGCCCTAATTCCTATGTGACCATTCTCAGGTGCTTCCATGGTTTCTAACACATCAATAACCCTTGCATCTTTGCTGCCACATGGATCTCCATCCCCTAACTCCACTGAGACGGCAGACCGAAGGACCTCACTAGCACACCAATCCCTCAAACATTGGCGTGCCTCCCCCAGGCTTACGTCTAGTGAGCCTGGCTTTATCTCTTTCCCCCTTCAAGTCTAGTTTAAAGCTCTTTCAATGAGCCCTGCTAACTCCTGTGCAAAGATCCTTTTCCTCCTTTCAGACAGGTGTACCCCATCTGTCACCAGCAGGCCTGGTGTCGTGTAGACCAACCCATGATCAAAAAACCCCAAATTCTGCCAGTGACACCAGGCTTGTAGCCAGGTATTGATCTGCTGGCTCTTCCTGTTTCCTCCCTTGTCATTCCCTGCAACTGGAAGGATAGAGGAGAACACTACTTGTGCTCGTGACCCCTTACCCAGTCATCCCAAGGCCCTGAAGTCTCTCTTGGTTGCCCTCAGACTTCTTGTTGCAACTTCATCACTGCCTACCTGAAAAATCAATAATGGCTAGTAATCTGAGGGCTGTACCAGGGTAGGAAGCTTTCTCTTCAACATCTTAAACTCAGGCCCCAGGGAGGCAGCAGATTTTGCTAAGAAGTGGGTCCATTCTGCATATTCATCCTTCTGTTCCCTCCAGAAGGGAGTCTCCTATGACAACAAACTGTCTTTTTTTCTTTATGGAAGCAGTTTTGACACAAGGCGTAGACCAACTTAACCTTGGCAACACCTCCAAGCTTGATGAACCATTGTTCTTATTATTGTTCAATTCCAGTTGCAGAGCCTGATACCTGCTATGCAAGGGCACCTAGGAAGGCGGGCCAGTGACAGAGGAGACGTGTCTGCTGTACCAGGCAGGAACTTGTCGCCACTGCCCTCTATCCCTTAAGTCACCATGTTCAGCCAGGTGGAGAGAGGATAGGGAATCCTCTGTATCATGGGTCCTGTCTGCCTGTTGGGCCTGAGCCAGGGAAGGCAGGGTGCCATTCCAGTAGTCTGTCTCTCTCACTCTCCCTGATACTCCTCAGCCTACTCACCTCCTCCCGGAGCTCTGTCAGTAAGCAGAGGAGCTCCTCTACCTGGGCTCACCTCCCACAGGGGTGCTCACTGCTGCCGTCCTGTACTGGCAAAAGAGCAGAGCGCACCCTGCAACGTGGCACCTGGGTGGCAGCATGTGCCCACCGGAGCTCTGTCTGGCAGGACGCGTCAGTCGTGGCGGGTGCAGAGCTTAGTGAGGCCGTGGCTTTCTGCTGGGTGGATACCGTGGCTCCCTGGTCAAGCTGGCAGAGCTTCAGCTCCCTTCCTGCACGTCCTGCCACAGAAACTGCAGTGCTGTGCCCTTGCTGCCACGCCATCTCCTGTCCGTGGCGCTCCTGGTCACTAGCGCTCCCTAAGGGATTCTTTTATACTTGCCTAGGGAGGGCACGTTACTCCAATCTAAAAGGCTAGAGCCCCTGCGAACAACTAGAAAATTTGCCCCCAAAACAATTAAGTCTGGAGATATTTGCACCAGTTGTGATTTCTGCTTTTTTCTACACCAGCAGCATCGCTTTTTGCAACCCCCTTTTCAGCCTCCTGGAAGGAGCTGCAGGGAAGCCTGAGAAATTGGCCTGTTTCATCATGTCCAAAAGCTGTCCTGGCACCCATAGCAACTCGACATTTTATTTCTCAGCTCTCTTCTGTAGTATCAATTGATAGTCCATTTTGGAAAGAAACTGGAAACACTCAATAGAACAATTTTATCAGAGTAGAGGTAAATTCAAGATAGGAAACAAACCTAAAAGATAGATGTCTAAGTTGCAAGTTGCAATTGTTGGATGTTTTTAGAGTCCATGAATACTTACATACACAGGCATCTTAAAACCAGCGATCCAACCCAGTATGACAGGTCCTATTGTCCTACTCAGTCCTCTCTGATAATAACCACGGGGGTTAGAAACACACACCTCTCCTACTTTGATCTTGAAAGGCAATTCTGAGGTTTTCTAGGGCTTTCTGTTTATTTTTAACTCTTTTCTTACAGAGACTGAAGTCAGATATCTGGACATCTGCTTTTCTATAACTGTCTGTTTATAATATATTGGTTGCCAGTATGGTGAAGGTAGCGTAGAATTTTAAAAAGCCCTTTATTGTGCTTTAGAAGAGTGATGAGCGCTGAGGGCTTTATTAATTGATTTTTTTTTTTTTTAAATGAGGAAAACCCCCATACTCAGCAGGGGAAAGTTCCCCTTTATTTCCATACTGCAAACAAACCACAGCTCAGCTAACACTTGGTTACTTAAATAAGCAAACTTGCCAACACCTCAAAACAGCTTAGAAAATCCCCCTTCCTGAGTGCTGAAAGAGCTCATACACCATACAGTGGCAATACACGTGAGGGAAGAAAATTTTAAACACATTATTTAAAAAGAAACAAAACTTATGCTGGCTCTTAGCATCTTAGGCCACCCATATTTAATTAGACTACTTGGAATTACTCTAATTTAGTTTTCAGTGAATATGAATTTTCTACCCAGTTTCTCATTGCCAAACCTGGAGCAAGTACAAAGACTGAAGGAGCCAACAAGCTCAGCATCAAGTTATCTAAATACCTCCCATTGATAGTTTCTCTGGAAAATGTCACACATATATCAAGTATCCCGAGAAATAATATTAACTCAAACAGCAATTGTAGTAAACGGAAAACTTTTCATTTTGCTTGTGAAGAGGTGACTTCACGAAAATTTTCTCTCAACAGCAAAGGTTTGTTACATATCAAAAAGAAGATCAGAAGATCCATTATATGTCACATAGTGGGGATTTCTGGTTACGATTTTAAAAAACCCTACACGTCAAAATAAAAATCACTATTGTCATAATCGCGCACGACTGACACGTAATGCAGCTATGGATTAGGACCATGGTGGCCTCCAAACAGTATATAATCTCTGCGCTGTAATAATGAAAATACAAACAATATATGGCAAACTTCTTTAGCCTCATGTCACCCTCAAGAATCAAATCGCCTCCCCTCATCTCAACAAAGTTGTACCTTTATATATTGGCTTGGATATAAAAAAAGTGACAAAGTCCATTAACTAGAGTAAATGAGATCTCTAGTTTTAAAAATAATAGCGATGTGTTGTAAATCACAACAGAGCCAGTGCTGAAGTCATCATTACTGTTCAAATAATTAACGAGCCCAGGCTTCCAAAATATGAAATGCCATGGTTTCCGCTTCTGAGTTACTGTATGGAACTACTGCACAAAGAAAACAAAACACAGAAATTAAATGACCTAGGGTTTGGGAGGACTTTTTTAAAATAAAAGAACATCATCAAATGACTGGGGGCGGAGGGGGGAACACTCACAAAGATTTGAATTAGAAAAGTGAAAATTTTTGCTGAACCTAAAAATCATTGCTCGGAAAAAGTTTGTTTGTTGCGTGTTGGCAGCTATCAGTAGTTTAGCATAACCAGACAATCATGTACTTCTCACAATATATACCCATTGATTAGTGAAGAGCAATTATTTCTAAACTAGCAAAAGGTGCAATTAGCATAGTTTTAGGACCCTGTCTATAGCATTTGCTGATGCCTTTCCTAAAGCAGCAGTTAATCCTCTGGGACTGAACAGGGGGCTGCCAAGTGCTCCCAAGCAGACAAGGAGCTGCATCTGAGACCAGTGCTTGTATTTCAATGCAATCCACCTCCCCACCAAAAGCACTGCTAAATTACCCCTCTCCTTCCAGCTGCCAGCTGACAGGAGTTAAGCAACACATTTCTAAAACACTGGCTGCGAGCAGCCTTTATTTGCATACCTGTTTCGTCGGGCGAGCTCGGCGAGGCGCTGTCCTGGGACAATGTAGTCCAGCTGGAGTCCTCATCGCTTGGGGCCAGGTTTTGAATCCTATGGAGGGCGCAATCTGTTTTGGCCCCAGTTTTTGGGTGGTCTTTCTTAGTCTCAGGGCTTGACGACACTGTGGCAACTTGGCCATCCTCTGGGCTTGACAGCTTGTTTTGTTTCCGGGGCAGGACTTCCCCATTGACAATAACGGTAGAAGCCTGGCTGTTGCTGTGTGCAGATTTATCCTCCATCGCAACAAAACTCTGCTCTAGCTCTCTAGCAGATGTCTCTAGATCTGCATAGTAGTTCAGGAAGCTCTTGGTCCTCCTTGGCTGCGAGGGTAATATTTCACAGCCAGAGGAATCCTGCGGGATTGGCTCTTTGCCTTCAAACTTCTCAGAAGTTACGTTTATGCCCGCAGTGGTACTGAGGTTTTTGTTGGGATCCTGCTGCCCCTGCTCGGCGGCTTTCCTGAGCTGGTTTTCTCCATTCTTCACCAGCTTTATATTGGCAGAGCTGTTCCCCAGAAGGGGCTGCGCTGCTGGATCGGAAAGACCCATGGCTGTCTGAATATTAGTCAGTGCATACTTTTTCCTGCATTTTGGAGGAGTGCTGTTCTTGGTCTCCGTGTGCCTAATTTCCGCATTCAGAAGTTCGTTATGAGAGGAGCGCAGGTTAAGGGTGTTTGGTGGGGTGGCGGGGTTGTTGCGGTTCACAATGTCCGTCGTGCTGCTGCTTGCCATAAACACTGCCAATGCGTCCACGCCAGAATCAACTAGAAAAGCAAAAGAAACAGTCATGAAACACATTCATTATATACACTATTTTGCTAGGGCTTCTGGTAAAGGGATGTGGCACTTCACATAATTGTTTTATAGTAGGAAAATTACCACAGTCTAAGTGGGTAAGAGAATAGACAAAAGCTTAGCTTATTTAATAAGGAAAAACAGAGGCAGAAAAATATAGATAGATAATCAGGACCACAAAGCTGAGAAAAAGCAGAAAGCTTGACCCTATGCAAGGCAGTTTTAAGGCAGTTTTTTCATGTCTGATTCTGTTGCAGGCAGGCTTGGGACAGGAGAGGTGCCCTTTGCAAATGCCTGGGAGTCCAGAAATCATCCTTACCATCATTTCATTTTAGTATTTCACCTCTACCTCCAACGAGGAGGAGGGGAAGAACTCCTTGAGCGCTCATCACTAGGAAGCAGAAAATTGGAGAAATGTCTAAGCAGACCGCAGGCAGATGCTGCTGCTGCTTTTTCATCTAGGGTAGAACTCAAGCACTGTTAATTTTAAGCCTGAGTGGCCAGTCAGCTGTTGCCTCTTCACACCTGCATTTTCTCTGCTCTTTGTCTGTCTTCCCCCCGCCCCCCTTCTTTTTTATTTTTCCCCGAAGGGCGAAGTAGAGGGTCAGAAGTCAGGGAATACAAAAAGTAAAGTATTTCACAATGCTGTATTTGACTGGGGGGAGGGAGGGGGTGCAGGGGGGAATCCCTTGACAAAATATCTTGCTGTAATTCAATCAACTTTAAAAAAGGGCTGCTCCAGAGATGAAGATGGCTCACTGTTTCTGCAGCTCACAAAGCTCAAACTTAAGGATAAAACGTATATCCCAGGGCAGAGTACATATATTCCAAAGTTAAATAAAATCATTCTTTTGTCTACCTGTAGACAAGTTTCTGATTTTTTATTAGCCAGGGGCACAGCTCACATTTTGAAAAAATATTAAGTTTGCTGAGGGAACAGATTTTTTTAGACTATGAAAAAAATGATCAGAAGTATATCTTTTAAAAACTATCATTTGTTCCTTTACTGACTATTTATGGCTCCCACTAATCTGCACAAATACTCCATGAACACCTCAATTTACATACTGTAGTAGTCACTGTTGGTTTACACCTGGGAACTAAATTAGAGGCCGATTAGTAAATCACTCCCACCTGCCACAGCATGAAACAGCCTTTCTGTTGTTCCTAATTCTCAGGTATCACTGACTGCTTATACTGCACATAAAAACTTATCTGGGGCTTATCCAGGAATGAAACGCTATAAATTGAGCTAGCCGATGACAGATCATTCCAGCTGAGTTGTGTTCCATCCTTGTATATTTGATATATGACAGAACTGACTGCTGTACAGATTTACAAGAGATTAAATATATGGGTTTTAAAAGAACATACACATAAACACAGAGGGAAAAGAAGCACTTCACAGTGTTACCTAAACACATGCACAGTTGCTAGTGTTCGCTTCTCTTTGACGGGCTGCAAAGCTGCACACTTCCAACCATCACTGAGGTTCATTTAAAATCAAGCAGACCGAGTATACTCTCTGTTCCCTGAATCACCCACCTAGAACAACTTCTAAAACTTGTTCAAAACAGAATTTAAACTAGATTTTACAAATGTTAATGTCTGATATTTCCTCAAGCACCAGTCAGTCAGTCTAGACCAACCACAAATTCTTCAGAAGACAGATCACCCCACACACACTGTGCAAAAGCCATCAGCTTAGGTAACAGTTAACAAACATCCTATGGACAAATTCAGCTTTAGCCACAAAAGACTTCTAAAACACAACCATCACATAATTTAAAGAAACTTTGTAAATGTACTTCTCAAATACATCAATAAATGTTACTTTCTGCATCTTGCCTAAAAACAACTAAGTCTAATGCAAGCAAAGTCACATCTGACCCAGCGTAATGTTACCAAAGCACGTGTTTTAATGTAAAGACGTGAAATGGCCTGTGTTTATGGACTGGATGTTTTATATTTTTTTCTGAATCAGTTAAGAGTCTGACAATCTGGAAGTCACATAAAAAATAATTAATAGGGCAGGATAATTTTGACCCCCTGCCTGACCTTTAGAACTTATGGAATTGCACAGTATCTATGGATTTCACTAGCTTATATTTTACTTTATGCTTCAGCAAATTAAAACAAGCATTTATTTTTTTCATCAATAAATATAACTGCCACAATCCGGAACAAGACTGAAATTTATTCTTGTTCTTTGTTACAAGTGAGCTGCTTCATGCAATGTTTACCACTATTTTTACCACTGAACAAATTTCTTAAAAAATAATCTTCCTAGATAAAGCTTAAGTATCTGCCTGCCAGATTATGTTTAGCCAGTCTCCTGCCGTTAGCATTTCACTTATCAAAAATATTGTAAGAATAAGCACATAGAAACATTGAAACAAAATGTATTATGTTTTACTAATCTGCTTGATAAAGCTCCCCCATGGATTTATGATGAACATTGCCATGTTGATCAATGACTGAGCCAAAGCCTCCAGAAGTCTTCGTGACCCAAGCAGTGTTTGTAAGTTGGGTGCTAAGGTGGGTTGGTGTATGATCATAAGCAGAAAAATGTCAAAAAGAACCTTTCGCTACACACCACCTCCCCTCCTGACCCCCTTTCAAACGATCCGTTGATCAAACCAATGAACATGCAAACAGTACCACGAGGCACACACAAAGAGGAGCAGACTGTCCTCTCAAAGGACAGGCGCCGGCTTGCTGGCCGTCACCCCACACTCCCAGCCAGGCTCTGGAACATGCACAGCTGGCAACCCTCCACTCTTGGAAACAGATATAAAGGTGGGAAAAAGGGAAGCAACAAAAGAGGCAAAAAGAGAGTAAGAAATACAGATGGGAAGGGGCAGGTCTTGCATCTCAAGGGCAGAAGTTGCTACCAGACCAGGACTAACTACAGTGCTGGAAAATGTTTGAATGCACTGAAAAAAACCTAGATTGCGTAGTAGAATGGTGTAAGGAAGAAGAGTGATAGCCTGTCCTTCCTCCTTTACACATGACGTGGTGACGCTCAAAACACGTCACTTTTCCCAGAGGAAGCACATCCCAACTTTCTAGTTAAAAACTTCAAGGAGATGCAACTTCTTCCTGCGGCTGTAATTTCAAGATCGAAATTCCAATCGCTGACTTCTTCTGTCTTTCATTTTGTCTCTCCCACCGACCCTGCCTCCCTCACCGCAGGGGTACCTGACGCACACCGGTGCTGCGCCCCTCATCAGCTAACCAACGCCCTGTGCCAGGCGTCCTGCACCCAGGCACCCTGCTGCAGGCAGAGCCCGTCCCCCCTGCTCGGGCAGCTCCTTGCACTGCCTGGCCACCGGCAAGGACAACGCTACTGGCATAGGGCACCCTTTTCTCAACTCCTCTGCCTTCTGCTGAAAAGCAAACACAAATGGACAAGCACACCAGGAATCACTGAGTTGATACGTATATCTCAGCTAAAGTAGGGGAACAGTGCTAAGTCATAAGTGAATAAAAATAGGGTATTATAATAAAAAATATTGGACTCCGATGAAAAACTAAGAATAATTAGGATGTTATCATTACTGGGAATAACAACATATTAATAAAATGCAGATGCTTAAACACAGCACTTAAGTAGGCAGATGACCTGTCATAGCAATTCATTAGTGATTTTAGCTCGCTTACTTTTTAAAACAAATCACGGTCTCAACTGCATATGTCTAACATTTAGAAACATACCTACAGATACAGATTAATATACTTTCACCACTATATTGTGTTTAACACAAAGCAGTCCCAATTTTCTAAGCATCATAATAATACAAATAATGCTATTACCTGAGTGGCTTTTATTGATGTTTTTCAGTCTTATCATAAACCTTACAGAGCTAGAAGGAGGGGAGAAAAAATGCCATTGCAAACAGAAAACAGTGCATGACCCATTTGTCTTTACCTCTAATAAGACTTTTTTGCATTGTATTGTCTATAGGAATACTTTTGAAAAAGATGAATAGAGGGTTTATGGGTTTATTCAAAAAGGCACTGTTAGAAAGAAAGTGCTTGCTCTTTTTCATGTGTAAGTGCAAAATGAAAGCGAAATATGGGCCTGGGAAGAAGAAGGAGGAAAAGAGGAGGAAAAGTTTCACATATTTGCATAGCAGAATCTTTTAAAGGGCGTCTGACCTGGAAGTACTTCTGACATGGCTCACGGGGCGTCAGCAATGCATCAGGAAATAGATTATAATTTGAAATCTGAAAAGAGGGATCATTTAAGAATTAAAACCAAAGGAAAACACAAAATAAAAATACCACATTTCAGAAGCTCCTGAGAGACGTTAAGCATTCTAAACAACCCTGGAACGTAACAGTGAGGATCTTCTGAGCTTTCAATGATATTTGACAGTCATTAAAGTATGGGAGAGGCTAGCCTACAGCAATGAGAACACGTAATTAAAAATAACTATGACATTTTTCTTAATGTACACTTTACTAGGAGCACAAGTTCAACAATATTCTCCAGTTTTAATCAACATACTGTAGCAAAAACTTCGTGACATTAGAAAATCTGGGGTTTTCCCCCAATTACTCAACTACAGCTTACTCGGGAAACTACAGCAGCATTGGTAAAAATAAACACAGCAGTAAGGCATGTTCACATGAGAATCTGCAGAATGAGATCCAGCATATGAAACTGAGAAGCATATGAAACTGGAATCATAAAAACCAAGCTAGGCAGCAAGCTTCTGTACAGGACCCTTTCCTGGCCATCTTCTCAAGAGTAAACCATTTTGCCTTGAAGTCTCTGGTTTGGATGTGAATGACACACACACTGGGAGCCAAGGTATTTCTATGCACTTACAACTATTTCTGCCATTGTGCCTAGGAAATATAGGAAAGAAACAATACAAACCTTTTCATAAAGCAGATTTCCTTTCTGCAAGGACATCTATTGAGTACCAAATGGTTAATGACAAACTCATGCCATGGGGCTACAGCCTCAGGTCCTGTACACTTCAGCTCTAAAGCCTAAGTAGGTGGAGAGAACGCCTCCGTTACACAATTGCAACTCAACACTAGCTAACTCCCTCTGCTTCAAAGGGTAAATTCCAATGTTAAAACATTAATTCTTAATCAAGTATCCTAATGCACTGCTTTCTCACATTTGCATTCATTCTTCAACTAGGACCAGCTAAATGGTAAGAGTCAAACAGATGTCAGCCAAAAGCAACCTGTTAAAGTCTAGATTTACGTTAATGTAGCTGAAATCAGAATTGAGACTAGAAGATTTCTTAGTGTCAAGTGTCATTGTGCTCCTTCTTGCCTACGTATCTACACAAATTCCAGGGGACATTAAACACTTTCAGAAGGGAAAAGGAAGGAAAACACCTGAATGAAGTGCTGTGGTAGATCAGAGCAACTGATGATGTTTCTACAGCCAGTGGTTTTCGTCTCGCTGCTCCCTCCAGCAACGACATCTCTGCTGGACGGAGCTTGGAAGCTGGAGAGAAAAAGCTCAGCAAAGCCAGGAAAGCAGGAAATGCCGATGGTGGGCAGAGCAGTTTTGGGATCGCAAGAGCAGGAAAGGAGCAGGGCTGCAAGCAGCTTGCATGTATGCTCTCAAACCCATCTGCAGACTCCTCCACACAAACCTCAGAGCTGCTGAGGATGGGAAGGAGCTTTTGAGATCATCTAGTCCAACCCCCCTGCCCAAGCAGGGAATCACTGCTGCCCTCTCCACTCCGCCCAGGCTCTGTCCTCACATCAGAACAAAATCACTACTTCGATGTGCTTGCTAAATGCAGCTTCTCCCATTTCCAGCTATTTCTGCTTCACCTAGTCCTACTGAAATCACCATCCGGTAAACAGCTTTCTGTCCTGGCTCCTCCTTCCCCAAGAGGCACCCTGCCAGCCCCTGCTGCCACAACAATTACATTTTTCCTTTTAGAGCTAATCATGCTGCCAACCGACCACAACAGCCTACAGCAGTGCTGTCTCTGTTCTAGTGATGCTCTTATTAATGGAAATCCATAATGCTGACCTGTCTTTAAATAACGTTATTAAGGGAAAAACAACTTCAGATTCTGCAATGAGTTCTGGCACTCAAGTGGAGTATGCCTTCCCATTTGCCATGTTTTCCCTGCCCCTTCCTACACAGCCAGTCAAATTCCTCTTCCAGCAAAAATTCGGAGACAAGATGCCTCTCAGAATCAGATTCTAACGGCTACAAAGGAAAAAGAAAACCAATAAAAATGAAAAAAAAAGAAACAGGCTAAATCCATTGCTCCTTTACTTAATAAAATTTTAAGATACACACTGATTCTTTAGATGTATCTATTTGACTATCTGACTGAAACTCTGTTGCAGACGACCTGGGTTATCTTATACTACGAGTATTCTTAAATCAAGTGATCACTTGGAGAAACAAAGAGCAATTCTTTCATTTACATAAGGCATAACCATGACATGCAATCACGACTAATCCTGCATTTAGTAAGGGAAAAAACAAGATGGCATACTAAGTCTTTTCCAAATTCAATTTTCTCCCTTTAATTAGATTTCCCCCCCTGTGCAGAATGGAACCGTCTGGCAGGCAAGAACAGTGTTGTCAAGGCAAGAAGATGGAGCGTGTTTTTTCTGTCAGCTACTTGCAAGCGCAGATAATAAGACCTTCTGTCATTGGATCTATACATTCACAGCGACATTTGCTAAGTAAACCTCAGTCATTTTTTCTAATCCTGTTGCGCAAATTAAACTCCTGAGCCTTAACGGTCTTTTTTTTTAAAAATCTACATATAAATTACTCAATCTCTACAATAAAGATCACACCTCAGACTTATTTGTTAATTACAAACAACTCTACTTTAAATGCACATGCTAATATAGGGCACAAGCATAAACTTCATGCTCTGCTACACTGAGACACAAACTCAGAAATTGTAACTTAAATTGCTGCAACTGAGATGACTAATAAAGCAAGAAGGACTTGGTCTTCCATATCCTGCAACTTCAGTCTCAAGTGCCATCCAAAAATACCTCTTACCAAGTCTGAAGGTAAGCAACGTGTAATCAGACCTGATGAGTATCACCAAAACCAAAGCATGATGCCACATGAAAAAGAAAGCTAGGATAAGCTGTCTCGGGGAAAAAAGGCAACCAAAATGCTTTGTAGGACAGGTAGCCTACCCAAATGCTTAATGGAGTAATAGAAAGGAACCAGTGGCCCACAGATTTGGCACATAAAATGACTTAGACTGCTTAGACTGAATTCAGACCAGGGATTTTCCCCCCCCACATAAATTTAACTTAGATCATTCGATAGCTCCTAAATCAGGAAGCAGAACCATTCAAAAGATGATTGATTCCTGAACAGGGTTAAAGAAACCCACAGGGTCCAGCACCAGCTTCTGAGCTGTTAATAATGGCACTAGCCCAATACCAAGCTCTTTGGTCAGGAGACACAGGCAGCGAAAGTAGGAAAGAGATTAAGCATAGGTCACAGCATTATTAACAGAGGGAGCCAAAATGTTAGCTGAGCCCCTGTCAGATGCAATGGATGAGTTAAGTTCCAGCACAGCATCTGTGCTGGACAGGAAAAAAAAATAATTCAATAGATGATTATCATTAACCACCTCCCACACATCTTGTCTGTGGTCCTGCTATTGCAGCTTGCAAACACTCGACTGTTCCTGCAAAGCCTAGAAACAACACTGCATACTCCTGAGCACAATCTGCTTCCCAGAGAGCAACTAACTGCATGCACATAAATACAGACATTTCAGCTTCTCTTTTTAAACTAATATATTTTAACAATTAAACTTCTGATGGCCTGGCATCGTGATTTCACCTGCTACAACTTCACCTGCCCTCCAAATTACATATAATAAATTTATGGCTAGTTACATATTAATCTCTTATCAAGGTTACCCAGAAATGTTTTTACCCTCAAATTACCCAGCCTGGTAGCAACCATTTTGAGCCATCTATTATCACTGCCTTGTAGCTGAGCTCTTAAAATGCATCTGAAAGGGCATGGTACACCGAGATTGTTTTCTTGTTACTACAAGGTTGTACTTAGTGTCAAATTGAGCTCTAGAGATAAAAACCTAAAAATTAAATAAAGGGGAAATAATCTTTCAGTAGACTCTCTACAACTCTATATGAAAAAAATCAAGAATATGTGTATATCAAAGGTCTCCATATCAAGAATGAAAACCTCTAATTTCATTAATTCATATGTGTTTGCAAATAATTTCAAATTGCTAACAGTAAGTTGAGACCTGTGAGCAAAAATAAAAAAGTCCAAGTCTTAGTAACAGAACAGAGCATTAGATTGATTGCCAGGTTTTGCAAGATGAAACTATCAGGGCTCTCAAGGAGAAGAAATCAAGATTTTGCACATTGACAAGATTGCTTCTGTTCCACATACATTAAAAACATCCTGTATCTCACCCAGGTAAGTCTATTATATGTGCGCTTTTAACTACACCTGCTAAAACTGTCTCAAAGTTGGACTCACATGTCCTACCCACATATCCCTTGCTCCCAGTAATGGAACAGGATGTATTTCAGAGCACAGGATGCATCAAACCAGAAAAGGTCTCCACATTTCTAGTTTGTTTTTCCATTAAAAGCTGAACCAAAATAAGGCTCATTACACAAAGACCTACATCTCAGCAAGGCTGAAAGTTGCCAGCAAAGCTACATATTGTCTTCAACCAAACTTTAATGGGAGAAATCAGGAATACTTCAAAACGTACACACAGTTTATAAACCAACTGTTGCAGTACTGCTTAACCTGACAGAACGCTGAGAGATGACTAAAACGACCATACCCGACAGTAACTCTCCCAGTGTAATCATAGTACTAGAATACAGGAATAACTTCAATCTTGGCCTGCTGTAGCAAGCAGAGCTCCTTGAGAATGCTGTTGTACTAACACTGAGAAACTTCTACCCATAGTGCTCACATATAAAACAAACCCACATGCTCATAAAAAAAAAAAATCTCAAAGTATCGTATTTGCCTTATGGTCCTCATAAACTAAACAGATCAATCCATAATAAAGTGGAAAGAGAACATAACAAAAAAGCAACTGCACTTACTGGCACTTGTATTACACTGAAGTGTGGCTAAAAGTGGGCTCAGTTTCAACAAGAGGCAAACTTGGCTGTAGAAGACACTGAACAAGTGGAAAAGAACAA